TACACTGTAATGTGTTATCAAAATAGTAAGTTCTGTAATAGGATCTTTTACAATAATTTTCCCGTGCCGGAGGCACGAGTCACATGCTAGTCTAATACAAATCAGAGCAATATCAGTAAATTATAAGTGCTATCAGGAAAAACCTGTTATCAGGCTTTCAATTATATTTTGTATTTAATTTGGGAACAAAATATAACTGAAAGCCCAATAACAGGTTTTCTTTAAAATTGAACTAGCTATTACAAGACTAAGTATCATAATCAGATTATTTACAAGAAGATAGAGGTACAGTATCATTTACATATATACTTTTTCTTTATTCTTGATCTCAACTGAACTGTATAGTACATCATGATCTAATCATTAGTTACATGAGTTATTATAAATACTGTATTTCTTAAATTTTTTAAGTACACTTGATTTTTTCTGCTTATTCGTTTGAAATTTTTTTTTGTTATTTTTGAGTAATACTTTCAGTCTTTTAGAGTCTTTTTCTTTGTGGAACTCATCGTTGGAGTCATTTATTCTGGTGCTTTTTCTTCGTCATTGAAGTCATCTAGTTTGGTGTTTTCTTGTTGTCACCTAGCTTTTCGGGCTTTCACACATTTTCAATTCGTTTGAAGTTTTTTTTTGGTTGAACTTCTTTTTTTGCTACTTTTGAGCATTAATACTCTTAATCTTTTAGATATATTTCTTTGTCAGAACTCGTTGTTGGAGTTGTCCAGTTTGGTGTTTTTTCATTGTCGTCGCGTAGTCTTTGATTTGTTTGAAGTTTTTTTTTGGTTGAACTTCTTTTTTGCCACTTTTGAGTATTAATACTTTCAGTATTTTAGAGTCTTTTTCTTTGTCAAAACTCGTCATTAGAGTCATCCATTCTGGTGCTTTTTTTTTTGTCATTGAAGTTCTTTCTTTATTGTCGTTACATAGCTTTTTGGGTTTTTACACACGTTTTCAATTAGTTTGAAATTTTTTTTTTTGGTTGAACTTCTTTTTTGCTACTTTTGAGTATTAATACTTTCAATCTTTTAGATTCTTTTTCTTTGTCAGAACTCGTTGTTGGAGTCATCCAGTTTGGTGTTTCTTAATTGTTATCACATAGTCTTTGGTTTTCTATACAAGTTTCAATTTGAAGTTTTTTTTTGTTTTAAATATTAACACTTTCAGTCTTTTAGATTCTTTTTCTTTATCAGAACTCGTCATTGGAGTCATCCATTCCGGTGCTTTTTTTTATCGTTGAAGTCATTTCTTCATTGTCATCACATAGCTTTTTAGGTTTTTATATATGTTTTCAATTCATTTGAAGTTTTTTTTTGGTTGAACTTCTTTTTTGTTACTTTTGAGTATTAATACTTTCAATCTTTTAGATTTTTTTTCTTTGTCAGAACTTTTCGTTGAAGTCATCCAGTTTTGTGTTTCTTAATTGTTGTCATAAAGTCTTCAGTTTTCCATACAAGTTTCGATTTGGTTGAAGTTTTTTTTTTGTTTTAAATATTAATACTTTCAGTTTTTTAGATTCTTTTTTTTTGTCAGAACTCGTTATTGGAGTCATCTATTCTGGTACTTTTTTTCGTCGTTGGAGTTGTTTCTTCATTGTCGTCACGTAGCTTTTCAGGTTTTCACACATGTTTTCAATTTGTTTGAAGTTTTTTTTTTTTAGTTAAACTTCTTTTTTGCTACTTTTGAGTATTAATATTTTCAATCTTTTAGATTCTTTTTCTTTGTCAGAACTCATCGTTGGAGTTGTCCAGTTTGGTGTTTCTTAATTGTCATAACATAGTCTTTAGTTTTCAATACAAGTTTCGATTTGGTTGAAGTTTTTTTTTTTTGTTTTAAATATTAACACTTTCAGTCTTTTTAATTCTTTTTCTTTGTCAAAACTTATCGTTGAAGTCATCCATTTCAGTGCTTTTTTTTCATCGTTGGAGTCATTTCTTTATTGTCATCATGTAGCTTTTCGGGTTTTCACACACGTTTTCAATTCGGTTGAAGTTTTTTTTTTTTTTGAGTATTAATACTTTCAATCTTTTAGATTCTTTTTCATTGTTAGAACTCGTCGTTGGAGTCATCTAGTTTGGTGTTTTCTCATAGTTGTTGTATAGTCATCGTTTTCCACACAAGTTTCGATTCAGTTGAAGTTTTTTTTGTTTTAAATATTAATACTTTCAGTCTTTTAGATTCTTTTTCTTAGTTAGAACTTGTCATTGGAGTTGTCCAGTTTGGTGCTTTTCTTCGTCGTTGGTATCATATTTCTTTATTACCAGAACACTCCTTTTATTAACGGCTTTCGTTGTGTAGTTTTCAAGAAAGTACATAGTTGTTTGACTTTACTTGAATTTATTTTGAATATTAACACTTAAGTACTTTTCTTCGTGAAAAACACTATAGAGTTTAGGGTTGGGTATTTAGAATATTGTTTTACAGTTCAGTGTAGGTCAATTACTTAGTGTAATTAATTTGCAGCTTTGATATTATGATGTAACAAAATATTTTTATGTTTGAAATATAATTTTTATAATAAAAAATATATATATGCAAATTGTATTATATACATATCTATATAATAATTCTATCAATAACAATCGAATACCCGATTGCTCTTGATTATTTTCTTAATCATGTATGATGAAAAATCGATAGGTAACTGGTTTTTCTTTTTATAGTGAAAAAATAGGATACCTATTGATTTATTTGAATACAAATCGGGATAATCGATTTGACTATGATACATCTTCTAAAGCTTTCCGAAAAGTCCTGTATTTGCGCCAAAGATCTGTTTGTAATCAGTAACAAATCAAAGACTTTTAGAAAATACAAACCAGTAAATATCTGTATTCGTATCATATTACCTTCGGAGACCAATCGGGAACCCAATCGTTATCCAGTATAGTTTTGTTTGACCTGTATAAACCTCTTTTCGCTACAAAGAAGATTTACAATATTCTTGCAGCTTCGGTTATTCAGGTGCTTAGTATCACCAAATCGTATCCAAGTTAGAAGCTTAAATTTAAAACAGTAACAATATAGGCTGTTATTTTATATATGGGACCCCTACAGCAAAACAAACTAGTGGGCGAACTAATCAGATTTTGAGATTTTATGCTGATCATTTACTTAAGAGTCTTGTCTTTATAAAGATAATTTTTTTTTGCTAAATATATTAGTAAAATGTGTACGAATTTAATTTTTTTCTTTGTTGCCATTATGGTAAAAAATTGATTAACATATGTACCACATACAATGATTTACAATATTTGCAGCTGTATATATTTTTAAGCATAAATCGTATTTCTTAAATGCTATGATAACTAACTATTTAAGTACATAAATGCCATAGAATTACACACTTGAACTTGTAAAATGCAGAAGCAAGAGATAATTTGGGCGATGTAGCATTTTGATAAAGTACGTATATATGTATACATATGTATGTACAATACGTATATATATATGTACGTACACTGTGAAGAATTTAAAAATTAAAGAACTTTTATTGTTTTTTTTTATTTTAGAAGCATGGAATATAATATATGTTCTCATGATGATAGTATAAATGAAGTCATTTTATCTGCATTGAAAGAGTTAAATAATACTTTTTTTGCCAATTATTCAGATTCTGAAGACGAAGAATCTAACTCTGTATTAGATGATGAATCAATATTGGATGACGATTTTTTTAATATTCCTTCAAATAAATTAAATGAATTTAACTTTGTAGACGTTCCAGACAAATATATTGAAGATAAAATTTACGATGATTTAAAATTAAAAATTAAAAAATTTTTTAATAAAGGTCAGTACTCATGCCATTCTAAACAATCCTGTTTTGAGAAAATCGGATATGAAAAATTTCTTGCATGTTGAGCTGAATTTGAAAGTTTAGAGGAAATATGCAAGATATGGCTATTAAGGGGCAACTTCTAGCTTTTTAAAGAAATGAAAATTTAATAAGATTACTAATGATGATAGAAAAATTTACGTTTTAACTATTGTTATAATCATGATATTCCAGTGTGTATTGATACATGTTTAAATCTTGTTGGAGTTGGTTCTACATATTTAAAGAATATTAAATGGCATTTGCAAGAGCATGGCCTTGAAGAACATACATATGGCAATACCGGTAGAGCTTCTAAAAATATGAATCATATTGAGATTAATTATAATTTGGTATGTGACATATTTAAGTTTTTAAAAAACTATTCTAACATACATGGTATGCCCTCATCTGGACGTCACTGTAACAAAATTACTATACCAACTATATTTCTTCTAACAAGTTTTAGTTATGCATCTATATAATGTAACTACGTACAGGCTTGTAAAGATAAGTATAGTAAGGATGCTCGTATTTTGGCTAAATTAACCTTTACTAATATTTGGAAATCATTAATGCCATCATTTCAATTTATGTCATCGAAAACTGATTTATATAAAACGTGTGAAATAATGAAAATGGATATTAGATATGCTTCACAATATGAAAAAAAATTAGAGCTTACTAATAGTTACTTGGCTCACTTAAATCAAGCACAAAAAGAACATGACTACTATAATGCTAACATTATAAATGCAGTTGAAGATAGCAAACACAATCCAAATGTAGTCAGCTCTCAAATATTATTTAAAAGTTTTAGTGGTAGTGCCCATATTGCATCTAATTGGGCTCAAAACGTGCAAATACCTCATTCACCACAACAAATAGATGCTTTGTTTTTTAAAAGTTTACAGAAAGTACATTTATTCGGTGTTTGTAACACTGGTAATTTTCCACATATGCAACAAACAAATTATGTTATTAATGAAGCTGAAATGCCCAATGATGGTAAGCAAGGTAAAGGCGTAAATTGCTCTTTAAGCTTGGTCTGGCATGCAATTCTTAAATATAATCATAGAGAAAAAAAGTTGGCTATTACATGCGATAATTAAATAATTCAGAACAAGAATAATTTTTCATTATTTTTTTATTCATGGTTAGTCGATCGCAAGATGTATGATGAAGTTGAGTTAAATTTTATAATTCCAGAACACACTAAATTTATATGTGATGGTTGTTTTGGTCTAATCAAAATTCTCTACCGAAAAAGCAAGGTCAATACTGTAGAAGATTTAGTCTCAATTGTTAATCGTTTTACAAGAATTAATTTTAACGTTGCTCAACGTTATCTTAATGGAGAAGGCTTTCAATATTATGATTTTAAAAATTACTTTCAAGCATTCAAAAAATTACCTCATATTCAAAAGTACCATCATTTTTATTTTACTTCGCAACACTCTGGAATCATCTTTTTTAAAGATAATCTTGATGATAATTATGAAAGTTTTACAATTTGTCCCTTTTCTTTTAATGCCGATACCCCACTCCCTACAATTGATGCCAAACCACTTTCTCAAAAAAGACAAGAAGAATTATATAAAGAAATCGCTCCTTATATTGATTTACCTTTCCGCAGCATTATTTGTTCTGAACCAAAAATTCAGAATAAAAAATAAGCTAAATTTTTTTCACAATAGTTTTATTAGTTTTATTAGTTGTAGCATTAGATTTGTACTGACCTCCACATAAATAACAGAGTTCAGTTTATCTTAATTTAGTATAAAACAAGTTTTGTTTTTGCACTATTAAAAATCAAATAAAGTTAAGAAGTAGAATCCAGAATAAACTTGATTGTCAAACTAAAAATTTCAAGAAAAAATCAAGTACGTACTAGCTGGTGGTGAAATTTTTTTATATACAATATGTACATATGTACTATCTCAATAAATAAATAAATAAATAATAAATAAATAAGAGCATTATTTACTTAAAATATAATAAGTGCTTAAGGGATAATACTAATGGCAATAACTTAAAATAAAAAAATAAGTTAAAAAACTCAACGTTAAGAATCAATATTTATTCAAAAAAAAATAACAATAGTGATGGTAAAAAAATAAATATTAATTGATGATTCTCCAGTTAACTGATATGTGATCATAGTAAAAAGTGACTCAGATTACTATATAAATTTACTATGGTGTGAATATGGCGTTCGCCCAAGGTAAACATTTTTTTATAAGTTAATCATCTTTCTTGCTTAAGAGACTTTTGTAAAGCTTGTCAAGATGCATCTAATGGTGGTTAGTGCGTCAAAATCAGCCTGGTGAGTACTAAGATATCTTTAAAAAACCTCTCTTTTACTATGTAAATTTCTTTAAATTTCTTTGCAAACAATACTATTGTTTGCAAAGAAATTTACATAGTAAAAGAGAGGTTTTTTAAAGATATCTCAGTACTCACCAGGCTGATTTTGACGCTCTAACCACCATTAGATGCATCTTGACAAGCTTTACAAAAGTCTCTTAAGCAAGAAAGATGATTAACTTAGTATAAAAAAAAGTTTACCTTGGGTGAACGCCACATTCGCACCATAGTAAATTTATATAGTAATCTGAGTTACTTTTTACTATGATCACGCATCAGTTGACTGGAGAATTATCAATTAAATAAATTAAAGTGCCAAGAACAATATTTTTTATAATTTTATATATTGCTAGTAAAATAAATTAATAAAAAAAAAAATTATTTGTCAATTATAAAGAAAAGCCTGAAAAATTTGAGAAATTAGTTGTAAATCACATAACAATTTTCAAATGTGATTTTCTCAAAATCAGATAATCATCCCACTAGTTCGTTTTGCTGTAGGAGATCCTATATAGAATTTAATACTAAATATGAGTACTGCCAAGAAAAAACCTGCTATTGGACTTTCAATTATATTTTGTATCATACATATTTAATAAGTCATAGAAGATATGTCTGGTATAAAATATAATTGAAAGCCCGATGACAGGTTTTCTCTTGGTCTATTTATATATAGCTTGATTTAAAGTTAACTTATAATTATAATAATTAGTTTATCTTAATTAAATATAAATATAAAAATAAAATTATTATAGTAAAGATTTAGCCAATAAAATTGTGGAATTTAAGCTCATGTAACTTCTACTTTTAAATGACCAAATGATAAATGACTTAGTTATTATTTTAGTCATTTGGTTATTTAAAATCAAATGACTAAACATTTGCCAACACTGTTATATACAATAATACAGTTCTTATCTAAACTTAATTCTAACAACTTTATAATCTAATATATGCAAATATAAAGATTAATAAACTTAAAATAAAAATTAATTTATAGTTGTGCAATTATCAATTATCATGTTATCTTTGTAAGCTTTAAAATTAAACTCTATTAATTTTTTAATAATATCTGAATCCTTTGTATTTATTCTTTTTAATACTAATTTCTTTTTTGGCAGTTTGTAATTTTGAGACTATAAACCACCAAATTGAACTTATGCATAAAATTATATCTTATAAAAAAGTTAAATATATAAATTTTTAATGATCCAATTACAAGTTCTTAGTTTGCATATAATATTTTTAGTTTAATTTTTTATTTATAAGATTACACTATTACTATTTCTCTATAAGAAAAGTGGACCGGGTGTTGGTACAGGTTGGCTTGAGATTGTCTGGATAGGCATGTGTCATGTGGCACATAAGGGCATGAAACACAAACCAAAACGTGATAAAATAGCACAAATATTATGTTTTACATATGTGCCACCCAATGAATATGTTAATACTATGCACATTTTATTACATTATTTTACATGTAATTACCCATGCCAAAACCAATAAGTTTGATCTAGTAAAGTGTAGCAAAACCTGGTTCATTTACAGTCCAAAATATCTGGGTAAATAGTCCAATTCAGACCAATTTAATGTGTCAACACAGTATACAGATATACAAACCTGGACATTCGCTCATTCCACACTCAGCTGTATCTCTCTGTAGAAACACATGTCTACACAGACCACTTTTTTTATAGGGTTTAAAAATATTATATATATGTATTTTAAAAAATTTTAACTTCACATATAATAAAACTGTATTATATTTCATAAATAAAATTTTTTTTTATCTTTATACTTTTTTTCTTATTGAATTTTACTAGATCTTATTAGAACTAGAGTAGTGATCTATGGCTTTAAAATTCTAGCTATTTATATAATCTTTTAATCCTATACAGTATTGGCAAATTTAATAAGGTGTAATATTATATAATAAATTACAACCTGTAAAAAAGGCATAATATAATATAAGATATTTTAAAATCTTGTGAAATATTAAATTACAAAATATTAAGTAAGCTATTTCAAAATATTTTACAAAATATTTTACAATATAACAAAATAGAAAGCAAAAATTTACAACAAATTTGCAGATAGTAAATTTAAATCACATTAAAACATGCTTAAAGATAATAACAATAAGTAAAACTGCTAAGTGTATATTATATAAAAATAGTTAATATTTTAGAAATTTATATTAGAAAATCACTAAATAGATTATAATATTAATCAAGAAAATTACATATAAATTAAATTTAATCACATTAATTCACACTAAATTAAAATATAATATAACTATATTAAATAGAATAGATAGGAATATTTTTCAAATTATATTATTAAAAATATTTAATAGTCTGGAAATATACTATAAATAGATAGTGCTAATCACACCTTTTATGGAAATAAATCAGTGATCAATTGATTCTAAAAATTTTTAAAGTATAATTATTAATCAATAATAGTTATTAAGCTTTTTTTATTTTTACTACATTTTTAAATTTATTTTTTATTTTTAAAGTTTTTATTATTTATTTATTAATTTTAAACTAACTAGTATCATACTATATTAAGAATTTAACTATATATTAAGAATCTAGTGCTAACTAATGTAATTAAACTTTTGTGCTATATTCAAATCTACCAAACTTTTGTACTATATCACAAATCTACTAAATTTATATTAGTTCTAAATCTATCTAAATCTTGTGCTATATATATTTGTTCAACTCTATACTCATTCCAAATCTATCTAACTATTATGCTATATTCACTCCAACTATTGTATAAGCCTTTTTAATTATTGTACTATATTTGTTTCTTACTATTATGCTATATTTTTTTCAAATCTGCCTAAATATAATATATAATTATTTTACTATTATACTATATTTATCCCAACTATCTTGCTACATTTGTTTTAACTATTATACTATATTTATTCTAACTTATGCCATGTTCTAACTAATATACTATATTCGCCCCAATTATTGTATTATGTTTATCCCAACTCTTATGCTATACTTATTCTTGCTACATACTATACTTGCCCAACTATCATACTATATTTGTCTCTAATCTAACAATGAGTTTGGATATTTTGAATATATTTAAGTATTATATAACTTATTAAATTTTTGTAATAAAAAGATCAGATTATAGCAAAGTTGCAGCTATAATTTGAGTGAATAATCTGATTCTTTCACAGTGCAATTTTTTTTTATTTTGAAGTTAAAATTATCAATAGTGAAAAAAATAGACAATATTTATATAAATATCTACTGGCAATACAAGACAACACACCACCTACTCAACTTAAAATAAAATTTATGGGTTTTTCAATATTTTTATTTTTTGAAAACAAAAGGTAAAAACTTTTATTTATTTTTCTCTCGATCCTTATATACATAAAATTAACTCTAACTTATTTAACTTATTTACATTATAATTTAGTCTCATATGAAATTGATTCTAATTTATTTAAATCATAACTGATTATATGATATTTTAACTATTTCCAATTACCTTATAATTAGATACGACATAATGATAACTAATTTTTTAATTAATTAGTAGTGATAGAAATAATTTTTGAATATACACAAATGGATTACTAATTCGTAAAATAGATAGTTGTAGTATAGATATTGGTTGGATACAGGTGGATGAAAAATAAGAAATGTTATTATAGAAGGATTTTGCAAAATTAGAGAATTGGCTATCATTAACAAAGCCTGAGCTCATCACAATCTGGCTAGCTTTTTTCACTATTCTAACAAGCAATAAAATTTGGATCTTTGCAGACAGTACAATAGCAATTGCCAGTATAAAAAAAATTAAGAGTGAATAGAGATTCAGCAGAATTTTCAAAGAAAAGAACTGGGACATTTTAATCAAAATAGCAGATTTTATTAAAGTAAAAGAGATTAACTTAGAGTTCAAGAAGATTAAAAGTCATAGTAGAGCTGTGATCTGAGTCAAAAAATAGCAACCCAGGTTTGACCCGAATCAACCATTTTGACCTGAGTTGACCCTTATCAATAGTCACATAGGTTAAGCTTGAAAATATATTTTGAAATATAACTATTTTAACTTGAAAAATCTCAGGGTTTGTGTCAAAAAAACTTTCAACCTTGCTTATAATTAGAGTTCTTTCATTTTTTACATTGAAAAAACCCAGTTATTGCAATCTATCTATCTAATGAATAGTGCCATAATTCAAACTGCAAGATGTAATAATGTAAAAATTATTTATTACAAAAAGTAGTAATTGTAATAATATTTA